AAACATCATTTAAAGGATTACTTTTGGAACCACTTTGTCGATAATTTTAACCCCAATGTACCGTGCACATTTCACTTTTTATGCCCCTGCTCCAAGTGCTCTCAAATCCATCGTACTCCCAACTTCTCACCTCTTCACCCTCCCTAATCTATCAGTCTGTTCATTCTTATTTTACTTTTTACTCTCCTAAATTCATTTAATTTAATCTTTTTATTTTTAATATTCTGGGCACCAGTAGAGCGTACTGGTGTACCTTCAGCACGAACTCAAACTTAGTACACTATCCACATTTTGTTACTATTTCAGTCTATTATTTTGCTGTAAAATCTAATAATATAATAATAATAATAAATGTGGTGTAACTGTACTTGTAATGACATGTATAGTTATGCATACACTAATTATTAAGTACACACCTTTGATTTATTATATATATTATAATACATTACAACATCTTCAGGGAGTTGCAAAAGTTATATTATAATACATTACAATAAAGCTCTAGTACTGAGTGATAGTAGATATCTAAGATCAGTTAATTTGTGCAGCAGTTGGACCTCATGCACCTAAAAACTATAATTAGTATCCTATATTGAGCTGTCTATATACACACAGATGATGCTCAGATGCTGGAATCTTTGTTGTCCCCAGCAATCACTACAAATGACTGGTTATTAAATTTAAAAAAAGCACATGTTTATGCCTAGGCTTACCATTGTCTAGTTACCAAGCGGATTGATCCATTAGTGCACTGTTGCATTGAATTTTTAGCAAGCAAAAGAAGAAAATCCTAGCAAAAAGTTTGGCAGCTCCACTCAGCCTCATATTGTCAGACCCAGTATGGCTTGAGTCCCATTGTTTATTAAAATAACAATAGATAAACTATTATTAATAACTAGATTAATAACTAGACTAGTGTTAGTACAAACAAATCGAGCCATAGACACTACAAAACTTACTAAAGGAGTAACACTGACTAAATTAAAATTGCAGAAAGGAAAGACAAGATCTACTAAACAGCAATAAATTCAGCACAAAAATATTTAGAGGAAAGTTTCTTTAGATTCTTCAGGCATCACACCAAAACTTTCAACTTGGCCACCTAAATTTACTCTTTCATTCATAATGATGCTCTTAAGATCATCTTCACTTTCACTTTCATCTTCATCACTACTGTCAAAGTCTTGGGCCAATTTTAATTTGATACTGCGGACTGAACCTAATATTTTCAGAACTTGAAATTTAAAAAATATGTATTGGAATTATTTACCTGCAGGAGTAGGTGGAATAGTTTCTTGATATTGATTTTCAACAGTAAAGTCACTATTATTTTCTCTATTAATAACTTTATTGGATCTTTTCCTATAGCTATGAAACATACTCTTCATGCATATAGTATTGACTTGAGGTCAATTTACCATATAAGACAGGCCACACTGATTATTATCATTATCATGAGTAAGGTTCCAATTACAACTCCAATTGTTATTCCTGCTATTTGTCCAGCAGATAGTCCATCATCTGTAGGAGTTGCTGAAGCAGTAGGTGTCACTACAATAGTAGTTGATGGTGGATTTAGTAATGTAAGACTAGCAATTGTGAACCCAGCATTAACATATCTTGAATCAGCTGCCTATAATTAAAAATTTTATATGAATGATAATCATTCATAAAAGTATATAACTGAATCAGGTTAAAGAAGCTAAGTGCTGTAATGAGTAAAACATCAGTGTTATAAATTTATGAATAATTTTAAAAATAAGTTTTGCTAGGCTACACCGTATATTGCTTTGGCTACAGCACAATGCCATTGCAAAATAAATAATGCTTAAACGTCAGTAATTAAAGAACAAAACAATATTTTACAAAATAAAACTATTATAAAACTATATTATTAGCTTGCCTTTATAGCTGCCACTACTGCACTGGCATCAACAGGAGTTCCAGATTTTCCTTTGACATAAAACGTCACTTTTAGTCCATTACTTGTTTCAGTTGTTTCAGTAATAACTATATCATCAGGTTCTATAATACTATTTGTTGCTGACCTATAATAAATTAATAACTGTGTCAATACAATTTTTTCATTGTTACCTTTTTCTATTTTGCAAAAAAGCGCTGGTACAGTTATTACTGCTACAATATTCATTCAAAGCCTCTGCTGTTACATTCTTGAAACTCTCTACATCAAACTATCACAAAAAATTATCATGCTGTAAACTTTAAAGTTTTTAGCAATACAACTAATAACAATTTTAAAAAATTACATACAGTGCTTGCATTGGTTCCATTTAATACAACAACCACTCCTGAGTTTGCTGGAACAGTTGGAATAGAAGATGGTGAGGGAGTAGTTGAAGAAAAGAAAGAAAAAGAATATGATAAACTTGGATTTTTAGGTAAGGAAGACATATGAAATGATTCAGAAGATGAGGAACGAACTGGTTGCAAAATAACTACAAAATAAGCAATCGTAATTTAAAGTAGAATTTTCTTGATTTATAAAAAAATCCTTAGCTACCTGTGCATGATCCATCTTGAAATTCTGTTCCTAGTGGACAGAAGCAGTCAAAACTTCCAGGACTATTCACACATCTTATTCTAGGCTCTGAACAAGAGCTTAGCACCAGACACTCATCAATATCTAATAAAAATATCAAAAAATTTTGCAGCACAGATACACTGTCAGTTTACCTGTACAAGTAAACCCATCAGACTGGAGTTGAAATCCATCTAAACAGTTACACCCAAAGCTTCCTATTGCATTGTTACAAATCTGAGTGCAAGGATTAGTTGCTGAGCACTCATCAATATCTGATGACTAAAACATGAGTTCTAATTTATCACTTAACACTTTTACCTGTGCAGTTTTCCATGTTAGAGGATAAATTATACCCACTTTGACAAGAACAATTTTCAGTCTCAGTGTAGTTATCATAAACACAGAACTGCTCACACTCATTATCATCTAAACATTCTCTGCTAGGATCATCTATGCATCAAGAAATAAATTGAAGACAAAATAAGGAGAAGCTTTTAAATTACTTGCTTACTCTTACAACTACGACCATCATCTTGTAGTAAGAATCCATCAAAACAACTACAACTAAAAGATCCATCAGTATTCATGCATTCTTGCTGACAATTATCAAGTAGCCTCTCACATTCATCAATTTCTATTACGATCAGTTAAAAGATTAGTTTATTCATGTTTGTATATTACCATTGCATGATCTTCCATCACTATGAAGCTCATATCCAGGCATACAAGTGCAGTGATAACTACCAATAGTATTGTTACAGAAATGAGAACAATTGCTGGTACTAGATGAATCACATTCATCAATATCTGCATGTGTGTATAAGTATATAATTAACACAATAAGCAAGATACACATAGGCAATATAATTCACTCACCATCACATATTAATCCATCTCCAGTGTATCCATTAGGACAAGGTGGGCAAGTGGCACCAGTTCCAGGTGCTGGTACATCAGTACATGTAGCATCATTGAAGCATGATACTTCAGTACAACCATCAAAATCACCCTCACAATATTCTCCTTCATATGCTATTGGATAAAGCAAAATTAGTTTTACAATTAAATGGCAAAGACACTCAAAGATTAAAATACCAAAATGAGAGAAAAATTAATTGGTAAAGTGTGTTTTGGTAATTGACAATTCCATTATGCGATTGCAAAATAAAGTTGTCGTAAATATACTGTACAGGATTATTTATTGGCAGGAGTAATATTTGGTGAATTTGCCTGTGGAAAGAAATTGTGGATTTTATATTGACAATTTCTTCATAAAACCACCAATTGTGAATAATGATTCCTCGCCAATAAATCATCTTGTACATTAATTGATATTAATTTGTACCAAAATCCTCTCAGTAAGTAATGGTATTTGCTTATTATTTGTACCTTCAATACAATCACAAATCAAAATCAACGGGTTACTGGAAGCATTCTGTACACCTTCAATAGTACAATTGCCTCTATCTGCAGGACAACCACAAATTCTTACCTAAATATAATAATAATAATTGATTTTATTAAATGAATAAATTAATGTTTATGGTGCAGTTAATTGATAAATTTTACATACTTGAGGAGTTATTACTGATGTTGCATTGAATGAGTCACTTGCTATCACATTAAATGAGAATTTTACGAGAGAAGAATGCGTTACATTAAGTGTCCATATTGATCCATCTTGATCAAGTGTGTGTGGAAACTCTCCATCAATAGTAACACTGATAGTGTCTCCAGGGTCAGTGATATTAATTGTGTATAGTGCAGTTTCTCCTACTGTCAGCATGAAAGTATCACTAGCTTCAATCACTGGAGGCAAGTTATCTACAGAGACATTGTAGTAGCTGATACAGGTATATTTTCTTATGTACTTACTTCCTATTTGCTTCTTCAGTTCATTTTGTTCCATTGTTGTCTGAGTGTCTAATGCTAATTCTTCATTCTTTGTTTGACTGTAATCAAAAATGCACTCAATCTTATTAGACCCTCCACATATTCTCTCAGCTTCTACTCTAGTTTCAGAATCAATTTGATCAAGAAATACTGGAATATGGTTTGGATTGGAATAATTTGCAAATGTTTCTCCAGTAGCATAAGTCAACAAACTCTCTGTATCATTCTGGACTTGCCCTATAAAATGTGAATTTTTCTAATGCATATACATTTACTTATTTATGTATCAACTTTGAGCTGATTCTGAATAAACTTATA